TTGTCTGACAGAAAGAATGTGTGAATTTAACAAGCTGAATGGGTTACAGTCAGACATCTGGGCAGTGAGATGTACGCCTTATTACGAGCAACAATTAATCCATGAACAGCCAATAAACCTACGTGTCTGCCTGGAAAATTGCTGACACACAAACATCCCCACAGACACACCACACACATAAAAATATACACCAGGAAAGCAGCACAAACACAGGGAAAAATATGAGCCACGCACACAACCACCCAGCACATCCACTAACTTGTGTCTCTTGAGTGAGAGCCCCATGTGTTGCTTCATCTGCTGCAGGCCATGGTAGTCGGTGTAGATGAGGTCAAAGGGCAGCGGGCCAGTCAGTGGGCAACTGCCTCTGCCCGGGGGCACACCAAGGAACCTGCAACACACACAAAAAAACAGAGTTTAGACAAGCAGAGCAACATGACAGACTATTTTTTTTTCTTCAGATTTTTGGAGTTAATCTTCTTTCTTAGCTCACAGACTGCACAATTTCTCTGAAGTTTAAAGGTTAGTAGAGACTGGGATATATTCTCATTTCACTGTATGTTATGGACAATAACAACCTCATAATGAGCGTTTCTGTTGCGCGTTCAATTATAACCCTTTGTTGCTTTGAAAAATATGTACTGTTGCTTAATAGTATACTGTTATTTATACACTCCTCAGGATGAATTGTAATAACATAGATCACTAAGTAGTCATTAGCTGGTCAAAAATGTAATTTATCTAATATTTTATGACCACATACATGCAAAACTAATGACATTCCCACCAGTCTCAGCTTTATTTTGTTTTTAAGTAGCATGCTAACATGTTAAACTAAGATGCTAAACATACTAAATATTGTATTTGCTTTACAGCACGTATCATTGTGAGCATGTTAGCATGCAGGGACTCACAGGGCTGCCAGGGTTGCTGTAGACTCTTAGTCTGGTCATATAGTGGTTTTCAGGTGGTCAAGACAATTTTGCCAGCATAACATGAAAGGCAACTATTTGAAATTTTAAATGTCTTCAAATCTTACTCGATGTCAGCTGGAATTATCTAAACAAAGAGTGCTGAATAACACATCCCCATCAGCCAAAAAACTGAGTGGTTAGCATGAGTGATTGCTGAATAGGGAACAAAGGGTTCAGCTACAGAAACCAAACTTCATCAGCAGAAAAAACTTTTGGAATGACAGATGATCTCTGAGAAGTGCAGACACCACCACAGTGAAATCTTAGTACAAAATATGGAAAAGTTTTGTTTTTGTTGTTGTCGTTTTTTTTTTTTAAAGAAAGAATCACACTTTAAAACACGCATCCACTTTTTAAATACATGCCCTTTGAAGAAATCAAAGCCCCTAACCCTGGAGCTTTTACACTCAAACCGCCTGCTGAGCACACCAGTGAGAGAAATAGACTGTATAGATGGCAGTATGAGGCCAGAGCTGGAGTATAGCAGAGGAATTTCAACAAAAACTGTAGTAGTCACAGTCGAGGGAACTTCTTGGACTGTGTGCCAAAATGACTGCACGACAAAGTAACCCAACAAATTGATCTGAAATAGTCAAATGCCCCTCACTGTTTACATCTTCCCTTGCACTGGAAGAGAGTTTCTCATATCAAAGTTAAAAATCTAATTCCCTGGAGGGAAGAAAAAAAACTATTAAAACTAAAATTGTGTTTTGACTGAAAGTGTGTTTGTTGATCAGATAGCATCGTATGGGTAATGCTGAGTTCAATCAAAGTCAAGCCAGGGGGCACCGGGGGAGTCCTTTGGCAAAACATAATTCAAACAAACAGGATGAAAAGAGCTGAATGTGTAATGACCTGGCTGTTATACCTTACAGCAGCAACATCGACAGCAACAACAACAGATGGTCAATGGATGGAAGGAGAGAGCGAGAGAGAGAGAGAGAGAGAAAGAGAGAAACTGATGTATTGAGGTTGTGTGTGTGTGTGTGTCATGTGCTTAACTGTATGAGTGCTTATATGTGTATGATCTATACTTGCTGTTGTAAGATCCAAATGTTTGCCTTTCTTTTGATACCACTTCCAAAAAGTCTACTTTGATTACAAGAAAACCTTCAAGACACAAACACACAAACACACACATTCAAACCTAAAGAGAGAAGAGATATCATTCCTAAGTATGTGATGTACTGCGTCCAGTTCCACATCCTTGTTTGACCCAGTTTCTACTGATCGACTGAGGGCCTCTCTGTTACCGTGCCGACAGACCTGCTATTGGACCTGTGAGTGGTCTGCTAGCTCTTACTTAGCTCTTATTTCTGTGACAGATGAGGCCAAAGGCTAATGGAGACTGTAATGCAATTTGTACCCCCAGTGAATATCATCTCGCTATGCGAGTTTTACATTAGAGTCTGTTTGGCTGCGGTGCTTATTCAAAGGGTCATTTGATAGTGTTGCAAGGCAGCACTTACAGGAGCTCTGCTGGCAGCTGCTAACCACCACCAGACAGCAGTGAAAACACACGGATAAAAGAGTTTGATAAATGGAAAATGTGGTACTACTGTTAACCTACAACTGCTTGTGGTTTCTAAATGTGTATGGGTAGAAGATGTTTTTGTCTGGTGTACGGTAAAGAATGAATTTTCAGGATTAA